ACTAAAACAAAGATTATTGCTGCTGCTTTGTGGTTCAGAACAAAACTTTTCATGACCTATTTAAATTATCTGATGAGCACTTATTTAAAAACATGAAAGACAAATGAATTGCTTCAAGTTCAAAAAGTTTGCAAATATAATTCAGACAAGTAAAACATTGATATTTCATCAACTTAAACCATAAAGATTATTTTAGTTAAATAAGAATTTTTCCACAGGAAAACCAAACATAGCTGAAATCATACTGAGGGAGAAAAGAGATCTGTCCTCTCTTCTCCTGTAACTTTGATAAACATTCTCTGATTATCAAAATGCCTAATACTTTAAGAGAACAATAAATCAAATAAGAGAAGATTCTTCTGTTGTTGTTTTTTTATCTGATTTAGGGGGAAAGTGGCCTGGGGTGGCCTAAATACAGTTCTAAGTGGAACAGAGTTTTTGTCCATTCGAAGGCCCATCAGAGGACTGAGAGTCCAAGATAGTTCCTTGATAATTTGACTCGAGGTGACCCCTACACCCGCTTCACATAAGAATTAATTGTGATATTGGTCAGAAGTTAATGGGAGTGTTTGTTAATGCTGAAAGTGCTCGGACGCTGCATTTTGCTTCAACCACTTGCTTCAGAAAAATGACTCGCTTCCAGAAGTCGACTGTTGGAGCTACCAGGAAGCAGTGATTTATAAAAAGAGTCAAATGGACAGAAACTCATGGATGGAGTTAAAACAGACGTTGTGCATGGAGGAATCTGTCTGATAAAAACTGTGGAACTTTAACTTTGACACATTTGTGGACAAATAACTTCAGGTGATGGGTCTCAGATTGTTTTTTTCCGTATTGTAGACTCCAGTGGGAAGAAACCCTGCAGTGACATGTACTGCAGCAGGAGGGGTTTCCCAAGAGCTCAGCGCGGTGTGTCAGGGGCTGTGAAAGGTGTGTGCGAAAATGAACGCTGCACAACCACGTGACGGCACATCGTCCAGTCGGCTGACGACCGATCATACTGAATGAAGCCTTAAGTCTGCCCTTTGGGTTCACCTTTAAAAAGTCAAACATGACACTCAGAACACAACAGAAATTTAACCAGGTGAATTTATTTAAATCTATTATCACTCATTGGCAGACATCTAGTGACTTGTAGACCTTCAGAAACTCTCTGGTAAACAAACCCAGAGACCAGAGTGTTGGATCGTTCTTTTATCAACAGGTCAGGCAGCATGTCTTGGCTCATTTTTATGAAGTGGATTCCCAGCGTACCACTCCCTTACCTTCTCTTACCTGGGATAAGCTTTTTAGCTTTATCTGATCATTTGAACTTGGCTGATAAAGTGACGTCTTTTTTTCTTCTTTTTGAAGCATCTCCTTTACTTTGCTTTCAGCTCATCAACATACTGGCTGTGTCTCAATTCATGGGTTGCAGTCGACGTAGACCCTGACCCAAGTTGGCCAAACCCTAGGTGGGCCGTAGGCCGCTTGTGTCAGCTGCATAAACAGCTGTGAAATGAGAGGGTCTAATCTAAGGAAGACTTATGTTTGCATGACCACAAGCTGCCTCATCGTTTTATTTAACTCAATGCAACAAAAGTTTCATCAGCTATGTTGCTAAACTTACATTTAAAAACAAATTCTTTGGTCTGTGATACATTTCCAAACTCAGCTGCAAAAAAATACTTTTCCATAAAATTTAAAAAACCCTACGCCATCCTTGTTTTTCAGTTAAATTTTGTGACGGCGCATTGACTTCTGGGATATCGTTAGCTGTGTAGGATACTCAGACGCAACCTACGTTTTCAGGGTTTTGGTGGCCGCATGGTTAAGAGCCTACAAATTGGGTCAGGCTGTGTTGCGGGTCAGCGACATTAGCTGCCGACAAATGTGGCCAACGTTGACTGCAGCCCATGAATTGAAACGCAGCCTGTTGTGTGAAAATCAGCGTTTTTGTTTACAAACATGATTGTCCTCAGTGGTTTAAAGTGAGAAAACCTGAAAACAACTAGTTTCATCACCAACAGGAAAACAAAACTATTCATAAATGTCTAAAAGTGTTTTTAGAAAGCATTGCTCCAGAAACACGTTTGGGCTGTGGAAAAAAAGGTGTGTGCTGTGATTAATGCTGCATCCTTGCATGACAAATCTGAATATATTAACCCTGATAAGTATGTGTTACAGGCAATTTCTGTGAGTCGAGCGTTCATTTTAAAAAAAGTGTGTCCTTAAGTAATGTGTGTGTGCTTGCCATAAGTATATTCTATAGGAGTATGTCGTGTTAATGGGCTTAGGTGCATTACTCAAGTGAATAATACATGAAAGGATTTTTGTTTAAGCTGTAAAACATGCATGTGTGTGTGTGTCAGTGTGTGTGTGTGTGTGCCCAGTTAGCAGCAGATGAAGACGTACAGTGCTGCTCTATCAGGCCCCATTGGTATTCAGCAGCAGCGGTGCCAGCCTGCTCACTTAAAGGCGAGCTGGGCACAATTAGCTGTTAACATTACATGGCAGAATTAAGCCTCGGCCAGTTTCCCCGGGGGAAATTAAAGATCCGCTAAATCATTAAATCACAAGCTAAACATTAACAGCCATTTGCATTTTTATTGCACCTGAGAAGAATGTGCCTGGTCCATTATCTCTGAGAGACACAGGGGGGACTCTTTATTTGTTATTGTAATGTCGTCCCATGTGGAGACACAATGGCAGTTCTGTCGGGACAGACACGGCAAACCAGAAGGCTTGCTTTCACGCTCGTGTTTTTGGAGTGTTGTGATTACAAATTTGAACAAGGCTGGCAAAGGATACAATGACTTGTTTGTTATGTAAATCCCTCTCCTGCTTTCATCCCTCCCCAAAAATAAACACAGCCAAACAGATGACAATTTGCAGAGGGGCTCAGCTGAGTTTGGTTTCTGACAGGTTTTTTTTCTGCCTACTACCTCACTTCTTATTGAGGTTTCAGCAAACAATATGTGCCCTAAAACTGGATTTAATTAAAGGCCCCACTTGAATAAATGCACATCGCAGAGCTGATCGCACTCTTTCCGAAGTCAGACCAAAACAACTCATTCTGTTGTTTTGGAAACAAAACGGACACAAAACAAAAGTTGAAACTGCATCGCTGTTTGTCTTTTTCAAACTTTAGGTTTCAGAATAAAGTTCTCATGTTTTTTGTAGCCCTAAATGATACATTTTGACAGCATACAGTATATGTATATACTTGTGTATTTGTATTTATATTTGCTCTTATTAATATAGCTAGAATTTTGAGGAAAAACTGTCCTTGGTGAATTATTTTGAAAACATTCTTGTTGGTGCGGTGTGCGGTCCAGCAAATATAAAGTCAGGTCTAATTTTGCCTGATGGTTGTGTGCATTCTGCCACCCTGTGCTGCCTGGCAGATGTAATGTGAATGTTCTCATTGACTGTGGTTGGTTTGGTTTTATTGTAGGGTTTGTGCCGCAGTGGAGCGGACGCGGTGTAAATCCTCGGTAATGCCAGTGGGAGAGGGGTTGAATTAGCGGATCATTGCGTTAAGTTGCGAACCGTTAGCAAAACTTGTGGTGGTGTTGGTGGTGTTGGTGGGGTGTCTACAGGACTGGAGGAGGAGGTGAGTAGAGATGGAAAGCCCTTTGGGAGCTGGTACAGAAAGCAACCTGGTGCGTGGTTTTGCACTTTGTGCACAAGGAGGCAGCAGTATGGTGGTGAAAATGTTCTGTCACGTCGTAAGAGCTGACACTGGTTGGGATGCATTAAAAAACCTGATGACTCTGTATGACAACAATCATGACAATTAAAAGAGTTGTTCATTATATGGCAGGTTCATTACACTCTTATTATGCATAACTACACACATGTTTGGTATTCTATCCTCATGGGGACTTTGCATTGACTTCTATTTATTTCCCTGTCATTTCTATAGCCTAACCTGACCCCTAAACCTAACCTCACAGGTTCATATTTGACCCTAATCCTAATCCTAACCTAAACTCAATTCACCCTTTAGTCCTAACCCTTGCCCCTGACCCACCAACAGTGTTTCCCTCAATGGGAACCAGGGTCTTGTCCCCATAAGGAACAGTGGGTCCTCCTCACCAGTCTGAGTACCAGGAAAATGGTCAAAAACATGCACACACACACCTCATGTCCACCTTCCTGGCATGGAAAAAGCTCAGACTCAGGATTTTTTCCACTATCATCCCTGATATCATCCTGCTGCCCTCCATGAGTTACAGACTAAGATCATCTTGTGTTGAGAAAAAAACAACACAAGTTGTGGCTGGTTGGCGTTGCACAGTCTAACTGGATATCATGAAAGTGTAACTCTCAGAGAATGTGCTGTGAGTGACTCTCAGCTGCTACCACACCATAATTTAGTTCAACTTTTGTAAAACTGACTGACTGTGGTGCACATCTTGTATTAGGTTAATCAGCTGTAGGTGTGCAACAAGTCATTACTTCCTGAGTGTTTTACTAAAGTTCATTTAGAACTTCACGAGATATTTGGCTCACAGACACACACACACACACACACACACACACACACACACACACACACACACACAC